TGATATGAATAAGCATCTTCCTCTCGTCATATAGAGACACAGTTGTACGCTTCGGATTTCGTATTGCAACTTCGTTCCCGCGTCTCTCTCGTGTCAGTTTATCAAAATGATAAATTCATATAGATATTGCAGATATTTAGAATACATTAATAAAATAGACGGTGAAATTGCGCAAGATCCTCAACATGGGATCATGGAAAATTCATCTAGAAAGGTCGCAAATGACCAAGTTAACTGTTCTCTGAGGAAGCTTAAAGTCGAGGAAATAGAACTTTCGGATTAATTTTCTCGAGCTCTAGGGGGGAAAAAAACTGAATGATACTGTCGCCACATCTACTCGCCGAAAGTGAACGCGATACAATTAGCGGAAATTGATAGCCTCGCACCTCGTGGATTCAGCCGTCGCCATCTCCCCCCGATAACGCACTCCCTTCCTCCGTTCTCCGTTACGGTAAACGAAGAGTGATTACGTTTCAGGTGAATCACGGCGCACCGAGCGATCCGTTACGTCACGTCGGCGATCTCGGCAATATTGAGGTCGGGCAGGACGGAGTGGCGCATATCGACGGCATGGATCACTATTTGAGCCTGGTAGGCGTGCGGGGTGCGATCGGCAGGGCCCTGGTGGTCCACGAGAAACCCGACGACCTCGGTCGTGGCGGAACCGAGGAGAGTCTGAAGACCGGATCGGCGGGCGAGCGTGTCGCCTGCGGCGTTATCGGGTTCATGTAAAAGGATTTCGGCGAACGGCGAATTCGGCTACTGCATGCACTAAATACGCACTGAAAGCTGCCTGCTCACCTCGTATAAAACGATACTGCGTCGTGTGCAGTGTCCCCTGAATATATACTTCGGTGAACAAGACGATATATTTATTTCTTGCTGAGAACCAAAATTCTTTTCTATCGAAACTCAACCGGCATATCGCTGCATCTTTTGTAATTTTATATATTTTTTAATATTAATATTTTGATAATATATTTTAATAATTGTTCCGAGTCTCTGTTGAAATTTAAAAGGGAAATAACTATTATAGATATTTATTAATGTTTATTCCTTTGTTATTAATAAAAATGGCGTAAGAAGCTATTTTTAAGCTGGATATACGTAAAATAAAATATATCACGAATGTTAGTCAAATAACACAATTAAAATGTAATTAAGTTTATTCAGTCAAAGTGATCATTTGTAATATATCTCGTTTATAGCTAAATTCGTACAACAGCCTGCAGATTGTGCGCCCTAGTGCATCCACCCAAATTCGCTGAAAGAGATGTTGCGTATCGCAACTTTGTTCATTACTAATTTAATTGCGTCCATTTGTACCGAACAATAAATCACGAATGTAATCGAGCACCTATCAAACGCATTTTATACACACTTTTATTTAATCTTTAGCTCTCTAAAGTACAAAAAAATTAACAATTTCAAAAAGAAAATTGATAATAGCTAAGATTTTTCTTTTTCTTTGTTGCTTCGTCGAATGCTAAAATAATGTCATACTAATTGGTATAAATTATATTAAATAATAACAATCACATACGTGCATATAAAAGCTTTTCTTTTAAATACTTTACATAAATTACAGTCAAAATTGTTCGCTATAACGAAATTTAGTTCACGAGAATGAAGCTATTTTCTATGTCAATACATGGTCAACTGGGAATTTAACGAAATTTCACTGTGAAGAATTCAACTCGGAAATTGGACCATATTTGTTGTAATAAGATTTTATTGTAATAGCTTTCGTCGTCGATACATTTTTCAACGAAATAATATATAATACATAACCAGACAGAATACACGATCGCATATGAAAAACGCAATCAGCGATTCTTGATAAGCAATCGAAACTGCAAAGTCTCCGGATCTTTCAGGTATCGTATGCAGTTTATTTTTATATACGCACACAATATTATTACACAATTAAGACGTGACTTAAGTGTCCGTACAAGAGGAAGGGAGAAGAGGGTAAAGTCACAAGAACGAGGCGTCGAATATTCTACACGGACGGTTCGTTCGCTTCTTCTGGGAGTCCACAAGTGCGAAAGTCCCGAGCGGTCCGAGGTAACAAGATCCCCGGATACGGACTCCAGGGTAGAAGTTGGTTGAAACTGCGAAGTGGCGAATCTGTTAGCTCGTCCTCGCCGATGGTGTTCCTAAATGCAGCAGGTACCCTAGGGGTCTCGACGAAGCCCTGAGCACCTTCTCTGCCGACGGTCCCACGGGCTCGCCCATCTCCTCGAGGGCCTGCAACACCTTGCTCACCACTTCCGGCGGTGAGGTCCTCCTCGCTCCCGGCGCGTCCGGTCGATGCTGGAGGTCGTCCTGGCGCGGTTGCCTTGGCAGCCCGAACGTTTGCGGTTGGAAATGCACTGCGAGGACGTTGAACCGTCGATTTAAGCACTTGGTGTCTTGTCGTAAAGCTACCCCGGGTCTACAATATCGATCGTTTCCGCCCTGGCTTGCGCCGTCAAGAACGCCGAGGGCAAGCCAAGACAACAAAATGAAACGATGATTTTTATCGTTGCCGAGATTAATCGCCCGCGACTTCTCGTTCGCTATTACGATACTGGCATTTTGCAAACCGCGACATATCTTCGGGTTAATTTATGTCTTGAGATAAATCATAAGATTGCTACAATTTTCTTATTTTTTCAAATCCCTCTTATTGTGAATTGTAGTGACGCAAAATTCGATTCTTTACATTGCATTTTATTATATAATAAAAACGCACATAACAAAATTAACAGAATAAACCAACTAAAGTTCAGGTAAAAAAATTATTATTAACTTTCAACATTATGAGTCGAGCTTTTAAAATTTTTTCTCAATTTGGCAAATATTTTAATCAACTTTTCAGCTATTAATTCATCGATGCATTCTAAAATCTTGTAGAAATCTGATCAATGTTTTCAAATTATATACAATTAGAAGCAAATTTGTATAAACAAATCGTGTTAAAATAAGATTGCGTGAAAAATTCAATGAGCACTTTGCGCTCTGGCTGTGTTTATTATACGGCAAGATAAGAGCTTTTCTCGTTGATTACGGCAAACTTTATAAAGAAATACACTTCTCGCAACAGCGGGGGTGAATATCGCTACATTACTAGGAACATCCAGGACGTCGTAATCGGAGATGTCATCCAAATCATCCGCATCGAAATTACTGCGGCCGCATCTAATGACGAACTGTATGCAATCGATGATCAGCCTTTTTGATGATCTCCACATAATCATGTGCGAACATTTTGGGACGAGACCGTCGCGAGTAACGACATGTTACAAGTTACATTGTCACGAGCCGTCGTAGCTTCGTGTCACGTAAATGTTGACAGAAGTGGTTAATCGAATACACGAGTGTACGTTGAAGTTAACGTGGTGTGTAACAAAAGTGAACTTAGGCATTTAAATCCAATAACAAATAGAACATTGAATACTTTTATCGCGGCACTTTTTTATTCAGAAAGTTCTTGTTACACATATTTAAGTTTAGAGAGAAATTCTTACTATTCTAATTAAATCAGGTAATAGTTTTACAAGGATATTGTAGTGAAAAATAAGTAATAATGTCATTTGTACTATTTGATTTTTGTAATTGTAAATTGTAATGTCTTTTAGAAAACTTGCAATACTGTGAAAAACTTTGAATAGATTCGAAAATGTACCATATTTAAATTACATACAATGAATCATATTGCGATGAAAATGACTGCTAATTACATAGCAAGTAAACAAATTTTACAATTTTTCCTATATTTCATTGAAGTATATCGAATAATAAAATAGAATATAAAATTGAAATATCGGAATGCCTGTATGTTACATTTAAATCTGTTAAAAATGAATGTCCACATTATCTTGGAACTTGGTATCGTAGCATCACATTAAGAAACAGATTCACATAGATAGGGTTTTATAAAATTAGCAGAATATCGATTTCGCAAACTTAGAAAAGTTTGCATATTGAAAGTGAAGAATGTGTTGTCACTATCGCCTGCCCCTTCCTCTACCTCGGCCACCCCTGCCACCTCTGCCACCCCTGGCGCCGCGTCCTCTGCCACGAGCAGCACCTGGAAACAAATGGCATGATTAATGATTAAAGATTTGTATTAATTGCGATAACGAAAGAGATATAAAAAGAAAATATCTCTTGTCAACTGACGTTAAAAACAATCGGATTAATATTTATTGAATCAACCCTTTCAACTGTGTTTTTAACAAATTAATTATGCACACGTCGATATATAGTAAAATAATTAGGACTCTGCTCCTATGTAGCACTCTCTTTTTACAATAGACACGCATTTGCCTATCACATAGCTCAGTCCATTCTACATGAAGATCATTTATTGAATGATGAAGTGCTTTTTATTCGATTTGTTTACACTTGCATAGTCCTGAAAGGTCTATTAATACGTATGCTATATATACCTCTCGCAGCTTCCTTCTTCTTGGCCTTGGCCTTCGGTGTGTCGTCTATCAGCAATGTTTCCAAGGGAAGAGAGTCGGGCAAAATATAATATCTAATATTGTTACCCCGCAAACTGAGAGTCTCTAACTGTATGGGCTCGCGGTTCTTTATTGTCATTTTCACTGTTTTCAAGTGTGTATTCATCGCAACGTCGACACCTGCAGCAAAATAATTCACATTAACTCTATAGTCACAATAATATATTCCTGCTACATTAAATATAAAAAATTGTCAATTACAAGATAATGTGCTATATAAGAATTTTTTGTATGACAAATCTTGCGTAGCCACACAGATTTCAATTTCTCTAACCTGACACCAAGTCGCAACAACAAATCATCACTTAGACCTACCTGTAATCGTGCCAGTAACTTGAGTGCCGTTTTTCAGTTCTATCGTCACGGTCTCGTGACTGAGCTTCATCAAAAATCTGCAAAGGTAGCAACAAGACGTTAATCCTCGACGAAAAATATCAACGTTTTCGCGCAAAAACTTTGAAAGTATAGGTTAGGTTGCGCGCGCGTATTCGCTACGAATTCTCATAGAAAGTATACAGACGAGTCGCCGCACGCGTGGAAAATTCAATTTGTTTGCAACGTCTTCTTCATCACGTAAGTTTGCACGTATCTTACCTTACTAGCTTCATAGCGCAGCTAAATTTATGAAATTAGTACTCTACACAAATGATTCACCGATACCGGCGGACACCATGTATGCAAGTGAAAACCATGGTGTAAAAAGAAAGGTGAGCGAGCATTGAGGACGAGCAGTAGCGACCAATAGCATTTCGGTCCAAATGCTATGAAAAGTAATATGGCTGCGCGCAGAAAGTAGAGTCGCAAGCGTGAAGAGGTTAGGTTAGCAACGAGCGACGCGCGATTATCCAATGAGCGTACAGGTTTTATGGGAAAGCGTACAGTTTTCCTATAAAGACTGCACGCCCATTGGATATCGCGCGTCGCTCATCGTTCATCGCGTTCAGTCTGAATGAGCCATAACGTTTTCTGGCTCATGCAGACCGGACGCGATGAGCGACGCGCGATATTCAATGGGCGTGTGCAGCAGAGAGAGGTATTACTGATGTGTAATGGAAAAATAAAACATTTTATTCCCTTTTTTCGTTGAAGAAAATAACCCTGCCGGAAATAATTCTACAAAGTTCTACAAGAAAATTAAATATAACTGCCAGAATCTATGAAATTCTACGTAAATTTAAAAAGTGTTAGGAAAATCAACATGAAAATGCTAGAATTGGAACACTTGTGTTAATTTTTGTAATATTCTACAAGTAAGCAGATGTTTTAATTCTTTAAGATTTTGTTATTTCACAAATTTTTAAAACCAGTAAAATTTTGTACTAATTTTTACAAAATTGTACATTTTCATGAAATATTACTCACAATAATTTCTTGATTTGAGAACATTGTAATTTGTGATACTATTTTGTAGATATTTTTACAAAAAAATAAATGTTTTAACGAAGATATAAAAATTTCTACAAATTTCTATCTCGAGTCAATTTTTTGTAGTTATTTATAGAAATTTTTTCCGCTAGGGAAGTAGATCCTGGAAACTAGTAACACATCGATATCTGGTTTGTATGTTACAAAATTTTGTAAACTTTTCAGAATAATATAAACTGTAACGTGTACTGCAATGTTTACCTTTTCAACTTAAAAAAAACTGAAGAATATCACATACATTGTATCGTAGAAATATGACTTCGGGTGTTTTAGATATTTAAAGTAATTTTCTTTAAATTATTGTTATTATATCAAACAAATTCAATTGATATTGTCAATCAAGAATACAGTCTACTCTCTAAAATTTGTGGAGCGAAATGTTCACCCTATTGGCGTGAACATTTCCTCCAACAGAGTGAATATTAACTCCAATGGAGTAAACATTTCACTCTATGGCAGTATTTTCACTCCACAAATTTTAGAGAGTATATGACACTTTTTGTCATATAGGTATATACTAATATTAATATTCCTTCTACAATATATACATATATATTTATATTGTCTATCACACGTTCATAAAAGTAAAAATTTCGAAACTAAAAAACTTTAAAAGATTTGTAAATTAAAAGAAAATAAACGTTCATCTTCAATGCACAAAGTCAGTATTAAAAAGAATAACTGACTACAAAGAATACTATATGGAAATGACTGAAGTCGTGAAGAGTTACATAAGTGTTAAATAGATCTAGGTTGTCAGTAACAAAATCCCTAATACTTTACTTCTAA